CAACCTTCCCTTTTGAAAAACCTTTTTCAATTAAAAAATTTGACAATCTTTTATACCAAGCTCTAGGAGCTTGTTTTAAACCATAAAGAGCTTTTGTCAATTTAAGAACATGGTCCGGAAATTTTGAATCTTCAAAACCTGGAGGTTGTTCTACATACACTTCTTTCTTTTTAAACCATTTAAAACTGCACTTTTAACATCCATTTGATATAATTTAAATTCATGAAAACATGCAAATGCTAATAACATTCTAATTGCTTCCATCCTAGCTACGGGAGCGTATGTTTCATCATAGTCTATCCCCTCTTCTTGAGTATACCCTTGAGCAACAAGTCTAGCCTTGTTCTCACTATATTACCACTCTCATCAAGCTTATTCCTAAATACCATCTAGTACCTACAGTAGATTTATTACTAGGCATTTCAACTAATGTCCATACTTTACTTCTCTCAAATTGATTTAACTCTTCTTGCATAGTCATAATCCAATGTTCATCATTAATGCTTCTTTAATATTCTTAGGCTCTATTCATGTGATAAATGCAACATAATTACAAAAATTTCTAAGAGAAGATCGAGTTGTTACCCCTTTGGATGGATCACCTATAATTTCACCATCCTTGACATAGTTGTACTCTCTTGGATAAGATACTTCCCTTTCTTCAATGGTTGGATTCTCAAAAGGATCATGAGTTTCCTCATTTTTTGTTTCTTCCTTTAATGATGGTTCTCCAACGTCATGTCTAACGTCATTTGTATTTATAACACCTACATCATTCACACAAGAATCCTTCCTCGGAAGAGGATTATCATCGAAAACACATGTATAGACTCTTCTACAACTAAAATTCTTTTATTAAATACTCGATAAGCTTTAGAATTTAAGGAATAACCCAGAAAAATTCCTTCATCACTTTTAGCATCAAATTTGCCAAGGTTCTCTTTACCGTTGTTTAAAACAAAACATTTACATCCAAAAGGATGAAAATAGCTAATGTTAGGCTTTTTATTTTTGAAAATTTCATATGGAGTTTTCTTTAAAATTGGCCTAATCATTACTCGATTTATAACATAACAAGCGGTATTTGTGGCTTCCGCCCAAAAATATTTTGGCAAATTATTTTCACAAAGCATGGTTCTAGCCATTTCTTCTAAAGTTCAAATTTTCCTCTCAACAACTCCATTTTGTTGAGGGGTTCTAGGTGCTAAAAATTATGGCTAATACTGTTAGATTTACAAAATTCAGTAAATCCAAGATTTTCAAATTCAGTTCCATGATCACTACTAACACTAGTTATATAGTAACCTTTTTCATTTTGGATCACTTTTGAAACCGTGATGAATTGTTCTAATGTTTCATCTTTAGTACTTAAAAATAGAACCCAAGTATATCTAGAATAGTCATCTACCAAGACAAATGCATATTGTTTTCCACCCAAGCTAGTAGTCCTAGTTGGCCCAAAAAGATCTATATGGATCAATTGTAATACTCTACTAGTTGATACGTCATTAATGGATTTAAAAGAAATTCGCTTTTGTTTTCCTTTAGCACAAGCATCACAGATTTTATCAATATCAAATTTAAGCTTAGGCAACCCTCAAACTAAATCACCTTGAATTAGCTGTTGCAAAACACTCATACTAGCATGTCCTAGTCTCCTATGCCATAACCAACTATCATGTTCATCCTTAGAACCTAGGCACAAATTAGTCATATCAATAGAATCTAAATGCACATGTATATGTTTCCTATTCTATGACCAACAAGCATAATCTGATTAGATGCAATGTCAATGACTTTACAACCATTAATATCAAACATGACATTGAATCCTTTATCACAAAATTGACTAATACTTAATAGATTATGCTTTAATCCATTCACATATAAAACATTCTTAATTTGTATGGAAGAGGTATTACCAATAGTACCAATACCTTCAATGTGACCTTTTGAATCATCACCAAAAGGCACTTCTCCTCGATTTTTGGCGTTAAGCTTAATGAACCGGCTTTTTTCTCCGGTTATGTGTCTTGAGCATCCACTATCAAGGTACCATGAGTTTGAATTTGTTTCCCGTGCCTTGTAGCAATGCTCATTTTCCTACAAACAAAGATTAATTTCTAATTTTTGGTACCCAAATTCTTTTGGGTTCATATTCATTAGTTTCCAAAATTCTAGTCCCCTTAGGTATCCATTTGTGTAGGATATCCTTATCTTTAGTAGTAATGAGCTCTTTAGGAACCATATGCTTCTAACGATTTTTTCATTAGAGGTTCTTTGGGGACCTCTATGATTGTAGTTTTTAAAACTTTTTCTAACAAAGTTGGATTTAGAATTTTCTCCACTTTCAAAACGTTTTGTTCCAACTTTATCAAAAAAAGCTTTAAGATCATCAATTTTCTTTTGATGATCATCATTGACCTTTGAAAGTAAATTTTGCAAATCTAAATTTTTCTTTTCAAACTCTTCTAGTTTGATTTGCAAATCTTTGATCTTACTTTCAATATCGTTGTTGGTTTTGGATATGAGCTTATTTTCATTTTTCAATTTTGAAACATCATTTTTATATTTTAAAAACAATTTCTCATAATCCGAAGACAACCCATTATATTCTTCTAATAGATCATCATAGGATAAATCATCAAAATCAGATGAGTTAGAGGTTACCTTAGAATCTTCTCTGAATGCCATCAAGCATAAATTTACTACTTCTTGTTCCTCTTCATCGGAACCTTTTTCGTCGCTCCATGTAGCCACATGAGCCTTGTGCTTATTCTTTGATTGACCCTTTCTCTTTAATTGTGGGCAATCATATTTGACATGCCCCGGTTTTTTGCATTCATAGCAAATGATTGGTTCCTTCTCTTTTGGTTCATTTTTGAGGCCTTCATTTCGTTTGAATTTTCTTCCTCGGTAAGGTCTCATCATTTTTCTGAACCGTTTGGCAAACAATGCCATTTCCTCATCATCGTCATCTTCATCCGAATCACTCTCATCTTTTGTGGATTTGAGAGCAACTACAATGTTTTTCTTCTTCTCCTTCTCCTTCTTCTTTGGTGTCTCTTCAATCTTATCAAGGTCCACCTCATCTTCAAGCATCATTTCATGAGTGAGGAGTGACCCAATTATCTCTTCAAGAGTTAAGGACGTTAAGTCCTTAGACTCGATGATTGCCGTCTTCTTTGATTGTCACGATTTTGGGAGGGAGTAGACTAACTTCCTCACAAGCTTTTCATTTGAAATGATCTCTCCATATGACTTGAGACCATTGACAATCGTTGAAAATCTATCTGTCATAGCTTTGATATCTTCATTTGGTTTCATCCTGAAATTTTCATAGCTATGCGTTAGAATACTAATTTTAGATTTCTTTACCTCATCGGTACCTTCATGAGTGACTTGAAGTTTGTCTCATATTTCTTTGGTGTTGTACACGATGAAACTCTTCCGTATTCATCTGGTCCAAGAGCATAAAAATTTATATGGATGGTTTTGGAGTTGAGCTGGAACATTTTTGTCTCTCATTCACTCCATAATCTTGGATGAGTGAGAGGCTTGATGTATCCTTCTACTACGACATTCCATGCTCCCATGTCACTTGCTTGAATGAAGTACATTATTCTATTCTTCCAATAGGCATAGTTAGCTCCATTGAAGAAAGGAGGCTTGTTGACGGGCATCGAATCGAGACCGCAGTCGAAGTTTAAAGCGGAGGCCATTGATGACTTTGATTATCGATATAACTCTTCCCGAATCGAATCAAGAGGCGATTAAACATTCAAATGAGTTAGGCTCTAATGCCAATTGTTGAGTTAATCGATTGACGGAATCGACCAAGAGGGGGGTGAATTGGCAATTAAAATTTTGGTGGAAGCTTTTGCAGAAAATTGAAAGTAATTGCACAGCGATTTAGAGTGGTTCGACTTTATCAACCAAAGTCTACGTCCACTACCTTAGCTATCCACACTAAAGATTTTCCAACAAATTCACTAATTTGTTCTTTCTTTTGAGGACAAAGAGTAACCTTACAGCTCCCTCAAGAATTATACCCCAAATTCTTGAGCACACTCTTTTTCAAAGAGAAATGCACAAATTTGCAAACTTACAAGGAAAATCTCACAAGGTAAGATGTTTGCACAATTCTAGAACAAGAAAAGAACACTCACAAATAATTACAAATGAGCACAAATGGTGTTCTTATTGATCAAAGGCTTAAGAACTTGTTTAAATACACCTTGAATCACTTCTGAACATTGGGGATGATTGGTGAAGATCATATAGCCGTTTTAGTGTGAAAACAATTAATAAAACAGCTTGGAGCGTGGGGGGAATCGGTACCCCCTATGGGGAATTGGTTCCCTAAGTGTAAAATTTAAATATTTCGACCGTTATACAAGGGGGAATCGGTACCCCCTGGGGGGGAATCGGTTCCCTCCGAGCATACTGGAATTCTTGGAGCCAAACCATTCAGGGGGAATCGGTACCCGTTGGGGGGGAATCGGTACCCCCTTGGGGGGAATCGGTTCCCTCTGAGCAATCTGGAATTTTTGGCTTTGAAATAGTCCAAAATACTTTGTAAAATTATTTTGAAATTGTTTTAAGATTAAAACTTAATTTTACACTTGAGTAAGGATTAAAAATGATTTTTGAAAGATTTGGAGTAATGTTTTGATATTCGAATAGTTATATCGAATATACTTAAAAAATCATTTGGAAAATCTTAAAATTCATTTAACTTAATTTGTTATATCAAAATATCAAAATGTTTTCAACATATATTATATTTGACTATCAAAGTTACATAATGTTCAAGCATCTGAAGTGGGAATTTATGGTATGTTCATTTTCTACCTAAGATTGGTTTAATGTTCTTAATTTTGCATAGAATGCAAGGGGTGGACCATTTTATTCCCATAATACACCTAATGAGACTGTCAACTCTTGATCGGAGGATTATTTGCTAGAAGACTAGGATCAGCAGCTGAAGAAAGTAATTGTCTAATCATGCTTATTGTCGTCAGCATGAGATAACAGTAACTGTGAGTATCTAGGTGGTAATTACGCTTTATTAACCATTTTAATATTTTTTTTCATTCAGGCAATTTAGCTTCTGTAACTCTCATTTTGCTTGGACATTAATATCCCCTGTGATAAATTGTTCTCTCCATTAAATCTTGTCAGGGAGGTGAAGTGCCACCACCCTTTTCATCATTTGAATCTACTGGCTTTCCTTCTGAGATACTGAGAGAGGTATGCTTTTCTGCTTCTTCTTGCTCCTTTTAGCCGTTATAACATAGGGTTCAATTGAAAGTTGCATATGGTAAGTTAGTCGAACTATGCAAGTTGAATGTTTCTTGTGGAAAGTTCTGTGATTGCTGGAGGTCCCGATGAGCGTCAGACACATCTTAATTCTTTTGCCATCTTTACTTTTTTGTCGCAGGTGCGATATTTGCTCCTTGGAGGGGCTAATGTCGTACGCTGTGGTGCCCTCTGTCGGGGGCTTTGCTTGTAATTTGGGGCGCCCTTGTATGGTGGACCGATTTTCGGAAGGGTATACTGGGTGACCCAAGTTTTTTGGACCGCCGATGCTGATGATTAATTCTGCCACTGCATCCGAATGGAAGAAGAGGCCTCCTCTAGTTCCAGCTTCCATCGGCAAGCATTGGCCGCTTGCATATGGGGGATGATGCTTCTTCTGATATATGCCATTCATCTATAACTCCTAAAAGAAAACCAAATGTCTTGAGGGTAGTTTGCTCACGGAGGTTGCTGGTGTTTTCTTTCTTTCTTTTAACAGGTGCACAATGCTGGGTTCTCTGCTTCGACTCCCATTCAGGCTCAGTCATGGCCAATTGCATTGCAAGGTAGAGACATAGTGGCCATTGCGAAAACGGGTTCTGGGAAAACATTGGGTTATCTACTTCCTGGATTTATACATCTCAACGTTGCCGTAATTATCCTCAAATGGGTCCAACTGTGTTAGTTTTATCACCAACTAGGGAGTTAGCTACTCAGATACAAGAGGAAGCTAACAAATGGCTGTCCCTTGTTCCCATATGTAATGGGGTAAGGGGGAGGTAAGATAGTAGGCTGCCCCCAACACTAGGTTGAGAGCAGCTTCCGTAGGAGACCTCCAAATTATGAAATGCCCTCCATGGGACTCGATCCCACGACCTCAAGGTTAAGAACCTTGTGCTCTACCAACTGAGCTAGATGGTCATTTCTACAAGAGGAAGCTAACAAGTTTGGGAAATCATCAAGAATTAGTTGTACAGTATGTTACCATTCTTTGAATCAGAAGTCAGGGCATCAATTTGTTCTATTCTTTTTTTAGCTCTTTTATCATGTTCCATTATAAATAGTATGCTTAATTTTTTTCAAATGATCCTCCCCTAATTATATTTTGATATAGGATCTTTTCGAAGGTGAATGTGGACAGAACTCGGAGTTTACACTGATGTGAGTCATTATTTGTATATGTGCAGTGTTTATATGGGGGAGCACCAAAGGGTCCTCAGTTGAGAGAGATTGAGAGAGGAGTAGATATTGTGGTTGCCACTCCTGGCAGGTTAAATGATATTCTGGAGACGAGAAGAATCAGCCTCCACCAAGTTTCTTACCTTGTGTTAGATGAGGCTGATCGCATGTTGGACATGGGATTTGAACCTCAAATACGGAAGATTGTGAAAGAAGTTCCTACTCGCAGGCAGACACCAATGTACACGGCAACATGGCCAAAGGAAGTCCGTAAAATTGCAGCTGATCTACTGGTAAATCCTGTTCAGGTCAACATCGGCAATATTGATGAGCTTGTGGCAAACAAGTCTATTACCCAGGTTTGAACTCCATTATTGCTATTTTTTATATAATTCAACTCTTATTTGGGAATCTGACAGGTAATAGTTTTTATGTGAATGAATGGTTCTCTCTAACATATAGTTGCCAAGAAATTTATCGTTGTTATGATATATTGCAGTATGTTGAAGTGTTATCACCAATGGAAAAGCACAGAAGATTGGAGCAGATACTGCACTCACAAGAACCAGGATCCAAGATAATTGTTTTTTGTTCAACTAAGAAGATGTGTGATCAACTTGCTCGCAACCTCGCTCGACAATTTGGAGCTGCTGCTATCCATGGAGACAAGTCTCAGGCTGACAGAGATTACGTGTTGAGTCAGTTTCGCACTGGGAGGTCCCCAGTGCTTGTTGCTACTGATGTTGCAGCTCGCGGATTGGATGTTAAATACATAAGGTAGGGGTTGGGATTTCTTATGTATGGTTCCATTGCTTTATACTTCTATAGTTGCAAGGAACTACTTATGTTGATGCAGGAAAATCTTCATATTTAATGTTTTCTTGGTGATTTTATTACAGCTGCCGCGTTAGTAAATCATGATAATGATTGCAATTATTAATATCTTTCACAGGGTGGTAATCAACTATGACTTTCCGACTGGGGTTGAGGATTATGTTCATAGGATTGGGACGACTGGAAGGGCAGGTGCTACCGGATTAGCATATACATTCTTTTGTGATCAGGATTCGAAGCATGCTTCAGAGCTAATCAAAGTTCTAGAAGGTGCAAACCAGAGGGTGCCTGCAGAACTTCATGATATGGCTTCACGTGGTGGTGGGAGGGGAATGCCTAGACGTTGGACTCCCAATTCTGGTGGCCGTCCTGGGTTTGGATATGGTGGCAGGGATGGTGGCAGAGGTGGTCGAGGAATTTCTACATTACCATCTAGATGGAATGACATCTGGAGGACAGGGATATAGGCACGAGTCTCGAGATAGGTATGTGGTGTTCTCTTCATCTTTTTTATTTATTTTTCTAATTTTTATACTTGCTTCTGCACCAGTTAAAATTATTGAACTGTTTCTGTGGTGGTATCTGATTTTTTTCCCACACTATCTTTGATTAGTGAATTTAGAATTATTCTAATTTTGGTATGGAACTTTAAATTCTCCCATGTTTATTGACCTCTTTGTTATGTCTGAACTGATATGATTGTGGTTTCCATGATAGTTACAACAAGGGAAGGAGTCGGAGTCGGAGTCCTGCAGGTTGGGGTGATCACAGCAAAAGTGGTTCCATGAACGCAGCCAGAGTCGTAGTGCTGACAGGTATGATACTGCTGCTGGACATCAGCGCTCGTGAGAGGTTCAGGTCACTTTATAGTGGTGCTGGTAATAGTGGAAGATCGATTGGTGACTCTCAGCAGGAGAGGGGAATACCCTGGTAAAGGTATCGGGGATGAAGAAGAAGGCATGATACCTCATTGATCTTTTTGACCTAAGAATTTAGGAATTTGGTGGTTCATGTAAGTTTGGTTCAAGTTTTATATAACATGTTTCAGAAGTTTAAATTACATGGGAATATTTGTTGCATTTTTCTCGATAGACTTGCTAGGGTTTTAGATGAATGGAGTATGAAAATTTTAGAAGTGTCTCGAGGTAAAATAAAAGAAAAGTAGGCGAAGTTTGTCACTTGTTAGATTAAATGTCTTTCGAGTCTTGTGATGGATATGTGTAAGGATCAGATTAATTACTGTTTAATACACACTGGATTGTTTTTAAAATTTCTACTGATTTTAAATAAGTAATCTGGTGTTATTCTCTTAAATATCTATTGTTTTTGTTTCTTCAAAGAAAAATTACAAATGAAGTCATTAACGTATATGTTAGGTCGAGTCACGAAGATGAAGTGCTTTTAGGGTTAAATGCTGTCACATTGCATCCAGTTGATGGTATCCGTTAAATTTTAATGACCCTGAACCCTAAAAGAGGGAAAAGGAAGCCACAGGCCTGGGCTTCTTTCATTTTTCGGGTTCTTTACTTAGAAATGATGCAAGGAAATCAAACTCTGCATTCAGTTGATTTGGTGTTGAAGTTTGTTTTTCTATGATTAGGTAAAGGCCTAACCTTTCACCTTTAAAAAAGGGAAAGAGAATACAAATTGATTTATTACGCGGACTTGGGTTTTGGCTTCAGTTGTTTAGCTCTGGAGTAGAGGAAGACTCCGGTAAGAGCCAGGGTAGTGCCTGCATGGATGCATGCCATTGCCAGCAGTTAATACAAGTTTAGTAGGTTAATTGCACTGGAGTGCAGCGTAAAGGCGGATGATTTACCGAGGGAGTTGATGGGTGAAACAGGAGTCTGGAAGAAGATGATTGATGAAATGATGACCACAACTCTCTTCACACAATTCCCCACTGAATGCGTCACTGGTGACACCATTTGCAATATCATGTATGACACCTGTCATTCACAATCCACTCTCAGATTATACAATCATATTTTAAAAAATATTAAATATATGCTCATATACCCCTATAATTTTAGTTTTTTTTTTTTTTTTTACATAAGAGGGTTACCTGTTGATAACTGTGGAAACAGAATCCAGCCAGAAGTGATCTTATGCACAGCTCTCTGACATTCAAACCTTGGTTTGCCTTCACTCCCAAGTATGGGAATTTTGTTAATGAACATAACAAGCCCTAATTGCTTTAAGACAACTTCAACATATGTAAATACTCACAGCAGTTTGTAGATATGAAGGACTGAACTTCACACCTTCCAATAAAATGGCAGCAGGAACCAACAGAATAAACGAAATTATTGTTATTATTGAGAAAATATTGATATTGTCCAATGTCTCCTGTTTATAGAGATACATACATGTTAGTTCCTCAACTAAACATTCCCTATTTTATTTATGTATTTAAAAATCTTATCCCTGTATTAAGGTCGGAGTTTTTTAATGAGATTAAAAATCACGAGTTATGTGTTTTGTACCTCATTTCTAACCATGAACTTTTTGCTAAACACATTACGCGATTGGTTAGTCACATTGGAAGCCATTGCACTGCAGAAACCAATCCTGTTGAGGACAGGCAGAACAAGTTTAAGAAACAATTTACTACAAATATAAAGATATGATGTTCAATTTCATGAAAACATAATAATTAAGGGAAAAGGGTGTTACCAATTAAAAGATGCCTCGGAGAATGATGCTAATGCCACTCCACCAACAACTGGTACGAGGGAGGATACTATCCACAAAGTAGGCCACTGCAAGCAGCAGCAAAAGAATTGAGAGCTGAACCCTCTTGGTTTCAACTAACTAAATCAAACAGTGCATGAACTCGTACCTCTCCAAGAATCAGAACAGAGAACAATACAGTGAAAAAGGGCTCCATTGCTTTAATGGTGTGAGTGAATGAAACATTAACTTTGCCAATACTCACATTGGTCAAAAGATTGCCCAAAGTGTGAACTACAGCCAATGGAATGATCACTGCAACCTGAAATCTGCTTTGTAAAACACTTTCTTTTCAGAATCAAAACAAATTAATCAAAACAAGTACCTGAGAACGAGTAAGCTTGGGTCTATGGTGGAGATTTGAAGCCCACATTATGAGGATTATCAAAGTACCACACCCAAATTGGAAGGCTGTAACTGTGGCTGGAAATGCATACACCTTTAAAACCTTCACAACAACCCACAATGTAACTCAAATTCAACATCTACCCATTGCATTTCAAACTCTGTTATTGCTTGGTTTCCAAGAAAACAGACAAAAGGAAATTGGGTTTAGAACCTGCTTGTTGAAGATGTTGAAATAGATATTCAAAAGATACCAAACTGCAAACATGGCTCCGAGTTGCAGGCTGGTGGCCAAACCAGTATACCCCTTTGTCTCGCCTATGTTTTCAGGAACCTCTTGAGCTCTGACCCTAAATCCATCATATCTTTCTTTAGAAACAAGCAAAGAAGCATTGAAGGGGGAACAAGAAGAGAGCAAAGAAGCTTTTTGAAACGGAAGTCCATTGATGGAACTGAATGGCTTTAAAGAAGAGGAGTTGGATACTGGAGTACTAAATCTGGGGTTTGGGTTCTTGTTTAAAGGTCTAAACAATGGAGTTAAAGGAGAAAGAGAGAGTGCAGTGGTCTGCATCTTGGATGGTTCAAATGGGAAGACGAGGTCATAGTTTTTGTGGGGGGGCTTTAAGCTTTGCATGAATCGACAATGGCATTTACTTTTGCAGTTGGCAGTTTGCTTAACACATCTTTGATTGGATTGGTTCATGTAATTATGGGATAATGTGAAATTGCAGACTAAAACACAAGGAAATAAAACTGATCCAATTTTGATTAGCTGGAGGTGGAAAATCCATGGATGACATGAATCCCAAACCACGTTTGTGTCTAAGCTGCCTTGACAAAGATGTGGCACTGGCAATGACAGCTTCATTCTCGAAAAGGAAATCTGAACATGGACCTCAAATTTTTATGCCAAAATCATTTATCATGATATTTTTCAACCTTGATAGGAACCCCATCAAAAGATAATATATTGTTTTTATGCTTATTAGAATTTTTAAATAAACTTGATAACTTTTTAATGTTTTCATGTTGACAGAGAGGAAGAAAACACACACTCAAAGGAACACGGTATGTATAGATGGATTCCTAGAGTCGACCCACAAAGTCTACATGAAAAGGAATTATCCAGAATTGGCAAGTGTTCGAATCATTGTTTTACATATACTTTCATATCCGTAAAATATGATTAGTTGAAAACATGGAAAATAACAAGAGCCCTATCCATCCATTGTCGAAACCTTCCTTGCTAACTATAGATAACGATAACAGATAAGCAAATTTCGTAATTTCTTGCATTTTCAACAACTTATGAGATATATACATACACATATTAGGTTAAAGGGGCATTTTTTGTCTTGAGTTAGTACCGAACAGTTGATTAGTCTCTCTACGAATAATACACTTGCTTTGGTCACCGAACTCGTAAATCACATCAATTTAGAATCTGTGTAAATGATTACGTGATAGAGGGGAAAGTTTGAGGACAATATTGCTATTTTAAGAAGTTCGAGGGCCACATTGATTTTTTTAAAGGTTTGAAGGTTAATTATTTTTATGTAATATTTAAATAAAATTAAGAAAGTAAAATTTTAGAATAATAAAATAAAGAATATAAAAATTACTAAAATTAAAGCATTGTTAAAATTTCAAAAAATAAAGTAAAAATTATAAATTTTTAAAACTATAAAAAATTATAAAATGATAAGTCGTATATCATCAAAAAATTAAAAATATTTATAAAACATTAAAAAAATTAAAATTTTAATCCATAATGTTTTTAAGTGTTTCTCGTAAACATGTGAACGAGAAAGAGAAAAAAGATGAATTCAATACTAGTTGTGAAAATTTACACCACCAAGTTTAGTGACTATCATTAATTAACTCTTTTCAAGTAAATGTTGTTATCAAGTAATAAATTCTTGGAAATCCGAAAATTGATCGATGAGGAAGTATACATATAAGTTACAAGGTTATAAATATAAAGAGAATTACACTATAACATAATGCCCCAAATATTTGATAAGGACTAATTTGGATAGCAAAAAATATTAGAGCCTTAATAAAAAGGAATAGATATTGGAGCCTTATAGTATAATTTAACCCATAGATATTAGATTTTTACCTACCTCAAATATTCACGACATATACAATAGATTAGTTCAAATAGTAAACAACTTGATATCATTTAAGTAGGTTTCATCTTCAAGTTGTTAATGCATACAAAAAAAATCCTAACTAATTAAAATTTAATCCTAACTGATTAAAATTAAGTGTGCAAATCCTTGGGGATCAGCTGGGTAACTAAAAAAATATCCACCACACATTATTAACACGTGTTTAATATGATAAAGAGAACAAAGGAGAAATGAGGATCTATTATCTTCAATCTTTTCTCCTCTCTAACGTGAGAAAGCAAGGACTCGAGCTCTCATTTTTTCTACTCATTTCCAACAAAGTACATGTGTTTTCTATGTTTATTTTTAATCTCTTTTAAATTATGAGTTTAATTTTTATTGGAAAGCCAAATATGAAAACGAGTTTAATTCCATGTTTATTTTTTTTTATCTCTTTTAAGTTATGAGTTTAATTTGTATTAGAAGGTCAAATATAAAAATGAGTGTAATTTTATGATTTGGGATTATTCAAGTTCTTATAATTCTAAAGAACAAGGGTTTTCAAGATACATTATTTTTTTTTACAAAATAGTAAATAAATCATTGACAATATAATAAATCCAACGATTTATTTCTTTTTATAAACCATGAAAATAAATTCAATGATTTATTTCCTTTTAAAAGATAGAATCATTAAAGATTCATAAGAAAATAAATCTAATAATGTATTTTTTTATTCAAAATTCCCAAAAAAAAATAAATTTAACAATTTATTTCTTTTAACAATTTATTTCATTTTAAAAAATAGAATCAATTAAGATTCTCAAGAAAATAAATTTAACAATTTATTTCCTTTTAAAAGATAGAATCATTCTAGATTCTCAAGAAAATAAATTCAACGATTTATTTTTCTTATAAATTTAGAATAATTCAAGATTCTCAAGGAAATAAATTAAAAATTAATTTATTTTCCTTACAAAGCTAGAATCATTCAAGATTCTCAAGGAAATAAATTAAAAAATAATTTATTTTCCTTACAAAGTTAGAATCATTCAATATTATCAAGGAAATAAACTCAACTATTTATTTTTCCTTCCAAAGTTAGAATCATCCAAGATTCTCGACAAAATAAATTTAACAATTTATTTCTTTTTAAAAGATATAATCATCCACGATTCTCAATATAATTTATTTTTCTTATAATATTAGAATCATTTAAGATTCTCAAATAAATAAATTAATTTATTTTCCTTACAAAGTTAAAATCATTTAAGATTCTAAATGAAATAAATTCTATTATTTATTTTCCATACAAAGTTAGAAGCAGTACAAGATTCTAACGATGAAATAAATCTAGTGATTCATTTCCCTTTTCTAACTTTATATATTCTATTAAACAATGGAATTAGTAACACTAAAACCTGAAACGGATATATCACGACAACACAATTATTTTTAACAAACATAAATAAAAAAGAATTAATCCTTTAATTTTAGCAACTCAATAATCAAAAGGAATTCATCATTTGATTTTAATTTTCACAATCCAATAATAGAAAGAAACTAATCTTTTGATTATAATTTCCGCAATCCAATAATCGAAACGAACTGATCATTTGATTTTAATTTTCGCAACCCAATAATTGAAACGAACTAATCTTTTTATTTTGATTTTGACAACTCAATAATCAAAAGCCTTGGATTAAACTTCGAATCAGTTTGTATCTACAAAATTTCTTAAAAAAATTAATAGTACCATAATAAAATTCATAATGTTTCCAAAAACACATCAATTAATTATTATAACATTTAATAATAATTATCAATATCGAATATATTCTTTATTCATGTCATATTTAATATTCCATATTAATAGGTCAAAAATGATATGATAATAATACCATAACAATAATATCATGATTAATGCTTACATGCACTTTTATGTGTCAAATCTTACCATAATGATATTACCAAATAATATCATAACATAAAAAGAATCATATCAATTCTTTAGCTACCCCACAACAACAACCACATATGGAAATATTTTTTTCAAACAAAGAATCACATTGATTCTTTATTACAGAATCAATATTCTGAAAAATTAGTAACCAACATTGCTTTAATGACAATTTCTATTTAAATAGATTTGTCCACTTTCAACAAACTCGTTAAAACGACAGAATAAATCTTGAAAATGAATTAATTTATTTTTTACGATTTTCGAATCGTCTCGGATTAAAGAAAGGTAGAATAAAGAATATGTACTAAGATTATTAAAAGTATAACAATCCGATACGATAAAATAAAAAAGGAAATTTTATTTAAATAATCGAAAGGAATAGTATAGAGATAAATACATGATTTTGACAGAACAACTGAATGGAAACAAGTTGAAGCCTACAACTACAAAATTTCCTTATGACATTTTCGACCACTCCATGGTGCTTGATATCATTGGTTGTCTGTCTCCAAGGATACAACAAATAGATGATTAGCTACAGTTGTACAAGATCATGAATTGTTCCTTGCCTTCGTCTATCACAAAAAAAACTAGAGGAGAAGAAAAGAATATTATTTCTGAATTGTTTTTGAGATTTTTTAATGTGTTTAACCTAATAGGTTTACACGGTATTTATAAGGATTTCAAATTGTGAACAATTGAAAATTTTTGACCTAATGAAGAATTAATAAGAATCAAGCAATCAAACAATTTCCAAAATTGTTGTTTTAATTAAAGGAACCTTTTAATATTTATCCTTTTAATTCCAAAACAGTTTTTGAAAAGATATGTTATATTTGAGGAAAATATTTCATATTTTGGTTAAAATATCTGCAAGCCCACGAAAAGCTCGACCGGTTTGGACATTCACGTTACCCACATCGTGCACATCTGCACATTTATGAATAAATAATTGGTTCCATATTTCTTCAACAACATGTGTATCAATTTCTCATTCAAAGTTTCAAAATTGTCGAATTTTTTCAAAAAGTAAAAAAAGGAAAGTTTGTGTTTTATAGTGTGTTTTACGAATAAAAATGATGAAGGATTAATCGAATAGAGAAAGTGAAACAGAAAAATGGCAACAGAGATATCATGAGTTTTATGTAGTATATTACTAGAGGAGTTGGTGCTTTAGTTTTACTTTTTCTTCTTTTTAATAATAATAAGAAGAAGAATACATGCAACGTTGTTTTTTTAATTTTTTTAATTATCATGTAAAACTTTTATTAAGGTAGTAACGGGAGTTAATGATTGAGGAATTAAAACCGAACAAATCGATACATAAGAGACCAAATGTATTTAATTTCTAAATAAGTGACCAAAATCTATCAGACCGAATACATAAGGGACTATCTATATAGTTTACCCTAAATGGAAAGTAATTACAATTTATGTAATTAATCAATTAACCATAATCAAATTTACAAAGTATTATGTTATTGGTTTCAATATTACAATTCAAATCAATCATGAGATATTATCAAAATTCAATACAATAAATCGTTGGATTTATTTTCTTAGAAATTAAGTATGATTATACTTTAAGAAAAGGAAAATAAATTATTAAATTTATTTTCTTG